TCGGTGAATATAAACTTACTCTCGTTTCTTCTCTCAGCCTGTATAATACACATAAAATGATACAAGCTAGTAGTTATAACAAAGTATTGGTGGATTAATAACATATAATGTAACATGTATAACAATAATAGGGTGAAAGGGGAAAGAGAATAGAGCTGCACAGAAGTAATGTTTCTATATCATATTGTAATTAAGTTTGTAGAAGTCTGAAGTGGATTCTGATAATATGTATATAGTAAGCCCTAGTGTAATCACCAACAAAATGTTTTAAATAATGAAAAAAGTAATTACAGTAATTAAAATATTACTTCAAAAATATTCACTTAATTCAAAAAAGAGCAGTAGGGGGAACAGAAACAAAAAACAGAAGTAGTAATATTAAATGTGAGTGGATTAAATAACCCAGTCACAAGGTAGAAATTGTCAAACTGGATAAGAAACACCATCCACCTATATGTTGTCTACAGGAGAAACCCTTTAGGTTCAAAGGTGCAAACAGACTGAAGGTAAAAGAATGGAAAAAGTTATATCATGCAAACAGCAACTACAGAAATGATAATAATAGTATCAAATGCAATAGACTTCCAAATGAAAAGAAAATGTTACTAGAGATAAATGTAATGAAAGAATCAAACTACCAAGATGTTACAAACATATATGCACCTATATGAAATACATGAAGCCGAAATAAACAAAATTGAAAGGAAAAATAAGCAATTTGACAAAAACAGTTAAAGAGTTAAATACAACCCCCCAGTGGATAGAACATCTAAGGAGAATATCAACAAAGGAAATAGAAAACTTGAACATTGTATGTAAAATAGATCTGACAGATATCTATAGAATACTCCACACACAAAAAATACACATTTGTCTGAGTACATGGAACATTCTCTGAAACAGACTACACGCTAGGCTATAAAACAACCCTCAATAAATCTAAAGGGATTGAAATTGTACAAAGTATTTCTCTGATCATAATGGAGGGAGATTAGAAATTAATAACAAAAAGGAATTTGGGATATTTACAAATAGTGAGGAAATTAAACAGTACACTGCTAAATAACCAATGGGTCAAAGTTGAAACCAAAAGGAAAACTAGAAAATATTTTAGGATGAATGAAAATGTAGATACAACATACTAAAATGCATGAGATGCAACTAAAGCGTAACAGGAGGCATTCAGCCTGCAGTCTGGTTTGCAGGATTGAGAGAAGCCATACAACACAAGATTTTCCCAGGAGGGAACAGCATGTGTGAGTGGGCACATCCATAGGAAAAATCTGAGAAAGCCTCAGAATCCTTAGCTGGACTGATCAGTAAAGGTATTGA